GGTATACACGTGCATCTTGAGAACATTTTCAGAGCCCTGTACAAAACTGAACCATGTCAATGAAAACTGTACAGGCTGAGTCCATAAAGCACATGGAGTAAGAAGGATACACACAGCATTCTTTCACACAAGTGCTGTGTGTGAAAGCGCTGGGTAAACTGTGAGGCTGAGTGGGTGACAGAATGTAGATTTCATATCAAGAGGCTCAGGCAGACACCATCCTTGGCCAGCATGGCTGCTGTTAGACCAGGTCCTGCTTAATGTCCTAGGACACACGAACACAGAATGCCAATCAGGACATCCTTAAGATTTTGGTTCTCATCTTCATGCCATAATCACCTGCGGAGCATGGTAAATCAGAATGCTGGGGCCCACTCCCAGAGTATCTGACTCAGGAGGTCTGGGTGGCTCTAAGAATTTGATTTTGTAACGAGTCAAGTGTCCAGCTGATGCTGGTCTGCTGGCCTAGAGCTACCCTTTGAGAACCACTTCCTTAAGGCCACATAGGATTGGTTCGCATGAATGTATCAATTGGTACATTTGCCCTAACAAATGTATCCTGAACTGGAGCTCCCACCCCACCCCAGCAGGTCTCTCAGTCCCTCCACACAGAGTGCCAGAGCTGAGGCCTCTATAGAACAATGGACAGCGCTTCCCACACCCAGCGCACCCAGCTGGTTTTCCCCAGAACACCCGGCTTCCCTCAGGCCTAATTGGAACAGCTGAGATTTCTACTGTGCCTCCCAGACTGCAGTACCTCTCTGTAATCTATAATTGGTGGAACTTAAGCTCTGCTAGTTAACCTTTAGCATGTCATATAATCCTGCCACTTTGGCCATGACTCATAGTAAGAGATATAGTTTATATCACAACCTAGTTGGGACACATGCACATACACCAAATATCATGAACAATGCATAGTATACGTAATATACTCCTATTTTCTACTCTTCCTTCCTTCCCTCTCTATTTCTCTTGCTCTTTTTTATTTTTTTGAATGCAGGCCACTCAACCAAATTGTTTTCATGGATCCATACATAAGGTGCAATCTCCAGGTTGAAAATTACAAATATAACTTTTTGCGTGGGCATTTTGGCACAATTTGTAATCCCAGTGACTCAGGAGACTGAATAAGGAAAAAATCACAAGTTTGAGGCCAACCTCTGCAACTTTGCCAGACTCTGTCTCAAAATATAAATAAATAAATAAATAAAAGGGCTTGGGATGTAGCTTAGTGGTAGAGCACGCCTAGGTTCAATCCCCAGTACCAAAAAAGAAAACAAAACAAATAACAACAACAACAACATCATCTCCAAATATAACTTCTCTGAGCCTTAATTTCCTACCAGGTACACTGTTTGCATGGCCAATCTCAGTATTGTTTGTCTTGAATAATATTGTGCACATGAAAGCCTTTTTTTCCAAGGAGAAATTCTCCATGGGGAAAATGTACTATCACACACATACACACCACTGAAAAAACACACTTGTGCTTTTAAAAGGGGAGTTGGAAAGGAAGGAACTTGAGGCGGAACTGCAGTGGGTATGGAACACCTTGGTGGGGGATGGTGAATATTTGGTCTGGGCTGGAGCAGAGGAAGATGAGGGAGAAGGACAGGAGGCCATAAGCGCAGGTCTGAGAGGCCCCAGAAGCCTGTCTGGGCATTGGGATCACAGAGGGGAAAACTGGGAAATACAGCAGAGCTTTCAGAAACAGCACTTGACAATGACAATGGCATTTAGGGAGGTTTAGTCATTCCCACTTCCAAAAAAGCCTTTATTAATTGCCTATGACATGCCAGGCTTCGGCAGTGAGCAATACAGACTAGCCTAATAAAAAATCTCGAGTGAAGGAGGTGTGGGTCCTGAAATAACTTCTCAGTTAATTATTCCTTGAGCCTCTGCGACATTCCAGGCACTGAACTAGGTGCTGGGAGAGTAATGAGAAACAAAATTAAACGTGGCTCGGGCTCTATCGTAGCTTATGCCCTGTTGAGGAGGCAGGCATTAAACACATAAACCATGTGCCTCGTGATAATAGTAACTTACAGTGTAGTTATGAAAATCCATAAATGCTATGAAGAAAAAGAACAGGGTGCTAGGAGAGCAAATAAGAATGTGAACTCAATCTTCATAAACTAATAACCTCCACCGCAATGCTTCCAGATTAATGTGCAGTTTACGGAGCCCTCTCACATCCTTTGTCTCATGAGGGCCTCAGCCTGTGATGGAAGCCAGCCTAGAGTTCTTAACTTATTTTATTTATGAGAATAATAGCCTCTTCAGATCTCAGGAGTCTATCCAGGTAGAAGGGAACCCCAGCTGGTTCTGACTTAGGACACAGAGCTCTGCCCTCCAAGTAGCAAGAGATGAACTGTCCCCTGGGGGTCAGCTAGCCTGCTGGTTCTGGAGGAGAAAATCAAAAGTAAAATGGTACAAAGTTCATCTTCCCCATTTTCAGTCCTCAGAGTCTTAGCGTGAGGAACTGTGGTCAGTGACTAGTTGGTTAGAGGCTTGACCTTGGGTGGCCCAGAATGGGACAGGCAGGAAACGGCCGAAGTAGGATCGTGATGTGGCCTGTGGCATCCTCAGATGCAGCCGCAGGGTCGCCTGCAGTGAAAGTGAAGAGGGCCCAAGGCGGAGGAGATAGGTCAACGAAACTCCCTACCGCATTCACCTCCGAGATTGGGGACATGGTGAGGCGGCCCACCTGCCATATCAGCACCTTGATCACGGAGCTCATCAGAGAGAGGTTTCCAAATGACTTGGCCCTGCTGCCCCAGGAAGGAAACGTTCTGGGCCGCATCGTGGGGGCAGCTGGGTGTGGGCTAGGCACTTGAAAGAGGGCAAGTGATGACACAGCAGTGGGAGACAGGGCTGCTGACACTGTGGGACCAGCTCCGAGAGCGCAGCGGGGGGGAGCTGCCACCTGTCCTTCCTCACCAAAGGAGGGCATGGACGAACACGATCGAAAGAAGTGCCAGCTCAATAACGTGGCATGTTGAGTCCTCTGTAACCTGACCTAAATTTTCCATTTTTTTCATTTATATATATATATATATATATATATATATATATAGTTGATGGACCTTTATTTTATTCGTTTATTATTTACATGCAGTGCTGAGATTTGAACCCAGTGCCTCACACATGCTAGGTAAGCGCTCTGCCACTGAGCCACAACCCCAGCCCCCATTTTTGTTTTTCAAGTAATAGATATTTATAGAGGGTCAATGGTGTGTTCCCAGTGCTCCCCTCCAACAAGACAGACCCCGGTGCCTTCACTGTACCTGTGCCTCCAGCCTTTCCCTCCTCCACACCCTTGCTTATAAGCTTTCTGTTTCTGAACAGAAAGGACAGCCCTTTCCCCACAGCTCTGATAACCCAGACCTAAATGTCCTTGAGGCCCATCTCAGTGTCCTTTCCTCCAAGAAGTCTTTGAAATCAAACACCTGCCCTGACTTGAGCTAGCACCTACCATATTTCTCATTGTCTCTTTGCACTGTAGTTATTTATGACCATAAGCTCTTATTAGACCCATAGATGACAAAGCCATTTATGATTCCTCTTCTTCCTTCCTTCCTCAAAACTTTTGCACAAGTAGATGCTCAGCAATTGTCATTGACCCATTGACTGAATGAATGAAGAGATGAAGAGGCTACAAGTTGGGGCTGGTGGGGGAGGGGTAGGAAGGGCCAAGGTCTCTCTCCTGAGCGTTTCCATCACAGGGCCTGCTGTGCCCATGCTGGGGTTGCCAACAAGGCCAAGAAAAATGACACAAGCTTTGGATATCAGGTTTGGTGCTTAGTAGGTTCATGACACTTGACATATCTCTGTGTTCAAATAATGTTGTCAGATTATGTGACTGAGAGTCTTTTTTTTTTTTTTTTTTTACCAAGTATCTTTTTTTTAGATGGGGGTAGGTGGCATTGCCTGTTTTTCTCCTCCCCATCCCACATCTGGGAAAGGTGAAAAGGTACTGGGTGGTTTCTGGGCCAGTCAACAAGCAAAGGGTGACCAGACTCTTCTTTGTCATACAGATGTCTGTGTACTTATCCCTTCTTTACTACTGAATGACACCCTTGCACGGTGCCAGGCACAGGATGGACTCAGCAGTCCACGAAGGTAATGAATGGATGGATGAACACATATCCGATGACTGAATCAGTAGTCTCTGGAGTTTATAATCCTACCCAGGAAGGCTGGGGTGTAGTTCAGTGGTAGACCACTTGCCTAGCATGTGCGAGGCCCTGGGTTTGATCCCCAGTGCTGCAAAACAAACAAACAGAAACATTTGCCTAAAATTCTACTCAAGAAACTAAATGATCATAAGCTGCAGCTGTCCCTGTTGCCAGCCTCAGGACAGGAAGAATTCTGTTTTCCATGTGATGATCCAGCCCCACCACCCTCCCGAATCCCCACTGGTGCTGAGGGGATGTGCCCTGCAAAGACAGAGTGGCTCAGAGAGTTCAGCTCCCCCGTGAGGACAGTCACCCTTTGCTTGTTGACTGGCCCAGAAACCACCCAGTGCCTTTTCACCTTTCCCAGATGTGGGCTGGGGCAGAGAAACAGGCAATGGACTGGTCACCAAGAACCAGCCAGTCCAGTGTCTGGAAAATGGACATGGGCCAGACTTCCTGACTCTGGAAACTTCTTTCTGGAGACAGATTCTGGGAGCTGAGCCCTGGTCATCGGCAGAGAAGACTCCTTGTCCTGGGCAATGGGAAAAGAGAGTGGCTGGAGAGATGCCTGGGGACAGGAAAGAAGAGTCCCCACATTGGCCTTGCCAGCCTCCCCTGCACCTAGTTTCTTCTTCAATATAGGCAGAATTTGGAAGCCATCACAAAGAGGGTCTCAGGAATGCACAGTGGCACCAAAGGATAATGAAGGACTCCTCTCTATAATCCAAAGCTACTGCAGGGTGATGTGACATGTGTGGGTGTGTCCTTGAGAGAAACAGGCTTTGCAGCTGCTCATTGGTTGTCACTGAGCTGGAGGAATTTGCAGTCAGATGACCCTTGGGAGGCCAGCCTGTCTCCAACCAAGCAAGCTAAACTGTGAGTAATTCACTGGCAGAAGGCTAATCTGCTCTTCCCTCTGGATCTCAGGGCTCTCATGGGAGTTGCTGGACCCAGGGAGAAGGGGAGAGGTGTCTCCTCACCCCATCCATCCCTAGAACAAGCAGAAGACATGGGGTATGTCACCAGGAGCCATGACCTCAAAGGGCGGGGGGGGGGAGGTTCCAGGCCTCTCTCATTTGTGTCTTAAGTGAAGGCAAATTGTGCCTGGACAGGAAAAGAAAATTTTGTTGTTTTGGGACCCTTTAGGATTTCACCCAGGGGCATCCAACCATTGAGCCACATTCCCAGTCCTTTTTTCGGTACCAAGGATTGAACTCAGGGGTACTTGACCACTGAGCCACATCCCAAGCCCTATTTTGTATTTTATTTAAAGATAGGGTCTCATTGAGTTGCTTAGGGCCTCACCATTGCTGAGGCTGGCTTTGAACTAGCAATCCTCCTGCTTCAGCCTCCTGAGCTACTGGGATTACAGGCGTGTGCCACCATGCCCGGCATTCCCAGCCCTTTTGAGACAGGGTCTCACTAAGTTGCTTAGGGCCTTGCTAAGTTGCTGAGGCTGGCTTTAACTTGTGATCCTTCTGACTCAGCCTCCTGAGCAGCTGGGATTGCAGTTGTGTGCCACTGTGCCCGACTCACACTTTATTTTGTTTCAGAATTTTTAAATGCTTTCTTCTATCCTTACAATAATAATAATAAAAAAATCTAATTACACAATATAAAAACACATTCTTTTAAAACATTATAGCAAAAGCTCTTTGATCAGCACCTACAATCTTACTTCCTACTCGTCTTAGACATAACTGTAAACCAGGCTAGTGTATTACCTGTTCTCTGCACCACAGAAAACATAAGGTCTAGTTTTGGTTTGTTTTTATGTTAAGGATATCATGTTCAAATGGTAGTAAGTTAAAGTTTTATTTTATTTAAGACTCAACAGCACATATAATTGTAAAGCAGCAGGAAAAATCCGTCAGAGTCCTATAACAAGAACTAATATAACTTTTGTGTGCTCTCTTTTTTCTTATACACACGTCTTTCAAATTTGTGAGCATAGTATACATGGGATTTTGTAGCATGCCTTTTCATTTAGCTCATAAACATTGTTTAGAGGTTTTCACTTTCACCATGAAATGTCAATGCTCAAGATTGTTCTTTCTCTGCCCCTTACTGTCTCCAAAATGTTAAAATAATTATTAGAATCAGCATGTATTTGTTAAATTTAATCAATACTTATTATGAAGAATCTTTTATGTTTTGGGTTTTGGTCTAAGCTCTGAGGATGAAGCAGTGAATGCAGATGAAGCTTCCTGTCTTCCAGTTTCGTGGAGCTTATTTTCTAATGGGGTGGGACAGAAAAAGAGTACCCTTAAGAAACTGTATCAGAGCCGAGCGCTGGGGTGCACACCTGTCATCCCAGGGGCTCAGGAGGCTTATGCAGGAGGATCGTGAGTTCAAAGCCAGCCTCAGCAACTTAGCAAGGTGCTACGCAACTTAGCAAGACTCTGTCTCGAAATAAAAAATAAAAAGGGCTGGGATGTTGCTCAGTGGTTAGGCACCCTTGAGTTCAATCCCTGGTACTAAAACAAAAAACATATATCAGGAGGGCATGCTTTAAAAAAGGTCACACAGAAGAGGAAGATAGGGAGGACTGAGGCTACCAGGAGAGTCTTAGTATTTATGAGGGGACCTTTAAAACAAACAGGAGCTGCATCCCAAGCCTTTTTATTTTATTTTATTTTGAAACAGGATCTAAGTTGCTCAGGCTGAACTCAAACTTCCGATCTTCCTGCCTCAGCCTCCTCAGTAGCTGAGATTACAGGAGTGTGCCGTTGCACCTGGTTTTTACTAGAGGACTTTTGAGTGAAAATTTGAAGGTGTTCAGAACATGAGGCAGGAGAATAGCTGGGGTAAAAGTGTATCAGGCAGAACAAGGAACAAAGACTCTGAGGTGTGGGAACTTGCAAGGAGGTCAGGGGTTGTAAAGGAAGATGATAGCAGCGAGAAGATGGGGTAGATTGCAGGGTATCACAGGCCCCAGCAGGTACTTGACTTTTACTCGAAATTGAGAAATACTGGGTTTTGAGGGCAGGAGTGACAGGACCGGCTTTTGCTGAAACAGGCTCATTCTGGATGCTGAGAACAGAATACAAGGAAGTACAAAAAGAAGCAGGGAACCAAGAATTTCATTAGTCCAGGTGAGAGATGGTGGTGATTTGGACCAGGATGGTTAAAGTGGGAGTAGTGATAAGTGATCCCATTCCAGGTATCTTTTGAAGTAAAATCAAGAATTCTGGGTTAATAGATGACTGCAAGGATGGTGGCTGAGCAGGCAGGGACAGGGTTGGCCATAGTGAATGACATAGGAAAAGCCTTGGAAAGAACAAGTTTGGGGCAGAGATCATGAGACCAGTTTTTGGCATATTAGACTTAAGATATCAGATGTCCAAGCAGAGTAGTCTTTTAGGCAGTTGGCTACCTAAATGAAGAGTTCAGAGGAAAAAAATGTGCTTTAGCTACAAATTTGGCAACTGTTTTTTTTTTTTTTTTTCTTCCAGTACTGGGAATTGACTCTAGGGCCTTGCACGCACTAGGCAAGCAGGCTACCACATCCCCAGTCCTCGAGATGTAAATTTGGCCAGTATGTAGTTGGCATTGAAAGACAAGGAAGTGAGTGTAGGCAGCAGAGAGATTAAAGACATGGCCTAGGGCACACTGGGGTTCAGAGGTTACAGAGCAGTGTTAATTCATTTCATCCTCACAACAACCCTCTGAGGGAATTGCTATTCTTGTCATCATTTTTCAAGTGATGAAACTGAGGTATAAAGAAGTTACATCGGGCTGCAGTTACAGCTCAGTGGCAGAGCACTTGCCTAGTACATGTGAGGCACTGGGTTGGATCCTCAGCACCACATAAAAATAAATAAATAAAACAAAGGCATTGTGTCCGTCTACAAATTAGAAGAAGAAGAAGGAGGAGGAGGAGGAGGAGGGGGAGGGGGAGGGGAGGGGGAGGAAGCTGTTGCTAATCACTCACCAAAGCCACATGGCAGAACTGGGATTTGAACAGATAGTCCAGCTCCAACTGTTGTATGCTTAACCTCTGACTCTATGGGCTGACCCAGTCAAATGGGTATATATTATAGGTAAAGAAATTGACTCTTAGGTTAAGTAACTTTTAATATTGGTGGCACATCTGTGATACAGACTCTCACTGACTCTACTTTGAGAGATCTCTTCTTCTTTTTGAAACCCGTGCCTCACATATGCTAGGCCAGTGCTCTCCCTGTCCTTTTTTTTTTGTTTTATTTTGAGACAAGTGCTCACTAAGTTGCCCAGGCTGGCCTTGAACTTGCTATCCTCCTGCCTCAGCCTCCTGAGTTGCTGGGTTATAGGCATGGGCTACTGTACCAAGAAAGATCTTTGCTTTTTCATTCACTCTGCTGGATGACCTGAAAGACATTTAGAAGATGGGGTGAAAGGCTTCTGCCTGTCTCTATTCATGGCCCTTAGACAACTCTCTTTCCCACTCACACAAAAGATTTTTCTGGTAGGCCACTATCCTTGCAGAAATAGGACAACAGGTCTAAGTGCCTAGTCAGTCTCACTTCCTGCACCCCTTTACTTTCTCCCTCTCCTGGGCAGGAAGTTCGTGGTTGGACTTCCAGAGGAAGTCAGGTCTTAAGGTAATTCTAAGGAATGGCTGTGTGGCCATCTGCAAATTGCTTCTCTTCCCATCTCAGTTTTCTCTTCAATAAAACAAGGAGAGTGGGACAGGACAGTGGTTCCCAAATCCAGCTGCATATCTGGGTCACCTCTCCAGGGATTATTTACAGCCTGCAGTGTCTACCACAGCCCCACCGAATCAGACGCTCCAGGGCTGAAGTCCAGGCACACACAATATGGTTCCGAACACCCTGCTTAAGAAGCCCTGAGTAAAATGATCTTGAAGGTTTCTCGGTTCTAACATGCTGTGGTTCTAGGGCCTCATCTTGGGCTGTGTTTCTCTACTGTCTCTCTCAGGGCCCAGCACAAGGTGGGACTCTGAGCAGAAGGCAAAAAAGAAAACAAACCGAACAAACAAAACCTGAGTTCTCATTTCCAGCCATACCAATAACTCAGCTCCAACAAGTTACCCCCAAGTATAAGAGGAACCCTGGGCTTCGGTGTCCTCATTTGAAGAAGAGCAGGGTGGGTGGTCCTCATTCAGTCATCCAGCAAGTATTTCTTGAGCACCAGCTCTGAGAGGCTCTTGGGTCTGAGTCTGTCATGAAGTAGGGCAGCAAGGGCCAGGGTGGGAGGGGGCTGCTGCCAGGCAACGGGTGTCTGTTGCCTAGACTTCTGCACAGGGTTGCCACAGGTCCTGTGTTAGTGCCAGTGTGATAGTGCTCTCTCCCCAGACTCTCTCCCCACCGCTGGCAGCTGTAGCTGGTCTCCACAGCAACACGCAAACCTCCTGGGTTCAGAAAGGGAACTGTAGGCAAAACTGGCCAAATAAAAATTATGAGTTTTTCTAGATAATCCCAATAACAAGTTCTAAGGTATGAGACTAAACAACAATCACAGATCAGCACTCTGATTAGGATGGCAGGACCCCAGTTCCACTCCTGGCTCTGTCCCTTGCCTATTTGATCAGTCTGCTTTTAAAGATCCCCTGGTGACTATATGCACATTATAGTTTGGAAAGCACTGAACTAAAAAACAAAACAACAACAACAACAAAAAACCCAAAACCAAAAAAAAAACTGGGCTCAGAAGGCTCTTGGCAAGAAATGTGTGTGAGACCTACACAAGGGAAGCCAGGTCACTTCTGAGAGACAGCACAGATCATGTGCCTGCATGGGGTGACTTGGTTGGTGAAGATGTCAGTTCTCACGAACATGGTACAGGTCAAAGTGATCAGTGAAGTTCACCTGTGCTGGGAGCCATTAGCCAAGTAGGTATGACAATTTCCTTGCCAGCGTACCCCATGTTGCTGA